AACCACGACCATCAGATCATTTGTGATCTGATGGGTGGGAAGCACTCTGCCGTGATTTCCGGTGGGAGGTCTCTGTTTCTTTTTTTTTTTGGTCTTTTTCCTGTTTTCTCAGCCCAGAAATTTGTAATGAACGTGTCTGGCCGCTGCCACTCACTGTCACACTGGATCGGCCACACTCCTATCCGACTGCTAATGGGACCTCGCCCCTGGTCTGACTCTGGAAGAGCTGAGGACAAAAGCCGAACTTTTCCTCTCTAAATTTAAATAATAATAATAATAATAATGATAATAATAATAATAATAATAATAATAATAATAATAATAATAATAACAAAGGTCTGGCTCTGGATGATGCCTTGTTCATACCCGAGGCCGACAATCTTTTAAAGGGGGCGTTTTTGGTCCCTGTGTGTCTGTCGTTTGCTGAGTGTGCAGGACTTTTCAAGGGAGCCTTTTGGGTAATCCCGTCTGTCCGTCAGCCTGCCAAAGCTGTCAGCCTGTCAAAGCCTGTCAGCCTGGCCTTCCAGTCAGTCGGTTAACCTTTCGACTTTTGCCTGTCCCTGTCTGTAAGTCAACGTCGTAAACAACAAGTACCCGGGCCGAGGTTTGCAGTCCGAAACTTGTGGCCAGAAGAAAACGAGGGTGAAACGTCAAACGGTGGGCCCGCGGTCGATAAATGAGATCGGCGGTCGCATTGTCGTTTCGCGCCTCCAGAATCTGAGGTGTCAGTCCTGCAGCCGAGGTGCCCGTGGAATGGTGCTTTAAAGCACCAGTACACTACACATAGGACCTTGGGTGTCAGCATGAAACCCGCACCACTTTGGAGGCCGCCGATTATTTTTTTTTCTCCATGGCGGCCCGGTCTGCGCAGCGCGTCTGAGTTTTGCTTGTGGCAACAAAAACTTTCCGCAAGGCTGGGGCCGTGTACTACTGTAGTAGCGGTTTAAAGCGCCAGTACGCGATCGTCGCCTCGTCAGGAAGGTGCTCGGCCGGCGTGCCGTTGATGAATTCCATCGGTGGCCGGCGCCGCATTTCGGGGGCCCTCCGATGAATGGCCACGTACTACTGGTGTTTTAAACCACTGGCAGAGCGGGGCCTGGTGGCGATGCGTACTGCGTGCCAAGCTTTACTGGACCGCCAGCGGCCCACTTTTTTCCGTTTTTTGGCTGGCGCTGCCGGCCATCGTGGTCGGGCAGCCCAGAGCCTCCGGGCATGATCTTTGAAGAAATCTTGCAAGGTGTATGCATTGGGCGGCGGGCCTATCCTAGCTCAGTTGGTACACCCACAAACTGTTGAAATATGAATCAGACCGGACTTCGAGTCCACATAAAATCACATGACCAGAATAAAATCATTCCGAACTGAATTACCCGGGGCCGGTCAGATAAATGATGATACATCTGAAGGCCGCCATCCTTTGTAAACAAAGAGGATAAAAGAAGGGAAAAAAAAAAAGAAATCTTGCAAGGTTGTCCCCTTTTTTTTTTTTTTTTCTTTTTTTTTACACAAAAACAAACTCCATCTATTGGTGGGGAGCAGCACCTGCTGGAAACCGGGTCCAGCGTCCCATAGATACAACTATATCTTCACAAATTGGCACATACTGGGAACCGGGCCCAGCTTCCCATGAGGAGTACGTTCAGAAGCAAGGTTGTCCCCCCTTTGGGACATCCATTTAAATTGGAATGATACAGAGAAGATAGATTAGCATGGTCCCTGCGCTTTCAAAAGATAGATTAGCATGGCCCCTGCGCTTTCAAGGATGGCAAGCATGAATTCACAAATCATCCAAATTCTAGGCTACCAGCGGGTTAGGCCGGGTCACCCTGTTTTCCCGGGTGGCCCTGTGGTGTAAGGACCAGGGAAGGTCCCAGCACCAAAAAAAA